ATACGGAAAATACGCCACTCGGGTCCCGGATGAAGTGGCGTATGGAATCTACGAGTGGTTTAGTTCCCAGTAAAACACTCTTCTCCATATAATAAAATACTTCATTTAACCACGTGACACCTAGGAGCGCAAGCGCTCGTTAAATCGTGTGCGTGAACTCAAAATTGTATAAAAGAAGAAAAAGAAGAAATAGGACTATATAATCTATGTAAATATGTAATATACAATAGATGCCTAAAAATAGTTATGTACAAATATAATAAGATTTGAGTTATTTAAACCTAAAATAATTACCTAGTAATCGTTTAAAAGTTAAAAGATCGTTAGCGTCCCTTACAGATGGAGGTATTGAGTTCCAAATCCTGGCGGCTATAAAGGAAAAGGACTTACGCCGCCATTCCAAATTGCATCTAGGCAACTCCAAAATTGTACCGGACCCCCGTAGGTTATATGAGCTTACTTTAAAATTAAAGAGATCTTGAATATAGCTTGGAGCTTTATTATGTAAGCATTTATACACAAGGACTAAGGTCTGAAATTTCTTCCGCTGTTCTAACGAGCTAATGCCTACAGTCTTCAAAAGGAATTCATAAGGGGTTTGCCTACCAAAGCCTAAAATCGATGTAAGAATATAATAGTTCGTGTCCTCTAGTTTATTAGCCTGAGTGTTACCCACACAAGTAATAAGAGCCCACAATACTCTAGATGTGGTAAAATAAACGCTTTATATAGACGGCCCATAACATCTATCGGTACGACGTTATTGCGTTCGAGCGTTACGAGAACGCATTCTAATTTCGTCTTGGTCTCCCTGTGTGTAACCCGAACGACAACAATCGAGATTTTTTGTTAGGAACTGGTTCACATTTTGCCCCCCGCCCCTGACTATTTGTTCGTGGCGAATGACGTCTTCAACAACCGTGCTTTTCTTGTGACGCAAGGAGCGCTTGCGTTTCATATCAAACTAGGACACTTCCACGCTGGAGCTTAGAGTTCTAAAGAAGTTTCATGGCATCCACCTTTATATGAATCAGCAGCTTTTCTGGTCTATTTCTTTTTGTTCCTAGCTTATGGAAAAAGGTGAGTTTTTCAGGGTTGAAAGCAAGACTTTCGCCGCGCTGTGAATGAATAAGATCTGCTCGCGCTATTTGTTCTGTTTGTTCACTTCTTCTGACTTATTTAAGTTTACTCTATACTCTGACATCGAGTTAATTTGTGAGTTTCTCAGAAGAATGCTTCATTAGAAAAATCTTTTTTTCAATAGTTTTTTTATGGTTTCTGTTTGTTTGACGAGTTTGCAGAAAGAAGTTCCGAAGAGAAAATCTGACGCGTACTGACAATGTAGCTTATTTGCGTGATGCAGCGCGCACACTTTCTGCTGAATTTCGGTGTTCTTAATTGTCGACAAATACAAAGATTTCTTTCGCTATCTTTTGTGCTGAGATGCTGCAACAATTGTCATCATCGCTAAAAAACTACTAACATCATGTGTGTTTCTTCAACATAGCGAAATTTTAGACTGCGGAAGTGAAAAAGACAAGGAGTTTCGAGAGCTCAAACAACAAGAGCGAAAACGTTATTCAGGTTGATTAAAGAAAGCGTCATCGTAACGTTACTGATTGTCGCTGCTGTCTTCACGTATTTCCAGTTAACCTTTTAATATGTTCCCAAACATCTATCATTCATAAACTAGAGATGTTGTACGAGTTCATGATCAATGTACTTTTTTTACACGAAAGTGCAGAAGTCCAATTGGTCGTGTATGTATAACTTCAAAACACGTATCGCCGAAGTGCAGTCTCATTCAACAACAATTTATTGGATTTTTACACAAACAACGCTGAGCAGTATTTACAGGCGTAAACCCAATGTGCCTTGATGAAATATCAAGTGTTGCTTGCAATTCAGGTGAAACTCAAACTCGCAAAAAGTTATATTTTTCGGTCGCGATGGACTCTATGGCGAAATCCCCGCAAGCGTGTGGCAACAGGAGGGAAACTCTGAAGTTGTTTAACGCTGTCATCGTCATCATCATCATCACCACCATCATAAACTTTACTTACCCTCGAATTTACACAGTAGCATTGCTGCTTATTTCTCCGACCTACCTATTGTTAGAAATTAGAATTAATGAAAGTTATATTCAAATATATCCAGCTATTCTTTCAGTTATGTTTAAAACAATAATTCATCTTGAACAAATGTAAAATTTAACCTGGAATGATTTGGAGCTTTCGCAAGGGAAACCCGGGAACACTATTGGGTCGCACTCAAAGTTACGTTTCGACGAAAATATTTAAGCAAAATTGCTACAGACATAAACGTATGAGTTGTGGACAAGAAGTGTCAAAACAACTTGAAAATAAAGAAAGAAAACTTGATTTCCGGTTCGCTGAAAGAGGATTTTTCTTAGCCAGTAATCGCACTGGAAGCGCGGAAGGAGTGCTCAAGTTGTGGGTTTGACGTGGAGGTCACTGCAGGTTAACTTGGTCGCGTTTGAAAACGAAATGCTCATGATTTGTGGTAAAAGAATGTATGACCCGTCGAGTTCTGTAGCTCAATCACAAGTCGATTAAAACTTTCATGCTTGACTGTGCATCATTGAGAGAGCGAATTGTGGAGGTTTCGAGCCCAATCGAGGTCGTTCCCTGTATACACGCTCGATTTCATGCTTAAAGAACGAGAAATAGTCAGTGTTTTCGACTTCTGGTTGGGGGCTAACCGGCTTGGGGCTAATCAACCACATGAACCGCCAAATCTGGCTGCAGTGAAAGACTCGCCACGAGGCGAAATAACAAAATAAGCAAAACCGAAAACCCACCTTTCCTATCACTAAGAACCGAAAACCGAAATGTTGAAAAAGGAAAAAAAGACGAAAACCGCAACAGATATCAAGGCCGGCAAACCGTAAATTTAAACGAAAAAAAAGGATCTAAAAACAAAACCCCCAATCCACCCTCACCCTCTTTCTTCTACTTTATGCGAGCGTGGTAAGTCAGGTAAGTGATACAAGATTACTACAAGTGTGACTTTAATTAATAGGATTGGAGTTTCTATCAGTCTAGAGTATATTAACATTCATTTGACTGACGTAATGTTAAGTGCGTAAAGAAACAAGGTATTGGGCAGAGGTTTGGACCTCTCGATTCTACAGATAAAGTTGACTTGACCGCGCAATATTTCCTTTACCAAGTTTCTTTTGAAGCTGTCTGTTTGATCTTTTACTAATCACTTGTCTTTTTGAACTGGTCAGCACCTCAGTCAAGAATATGGAATAAAAGATTGTCAGAAACAGAAAATGGCTACATCGAGTATTTTCCGGCCGTTTGCTAAATACGAAGCGAAACAAACTGCTTTACAAGTCACGACGAATTCAAGACACATGCATGTAGTTGGAGAAGAAAGCAAACCAACAACATTTGAAGAAGATGAAATTGCTCCTCTCATGCTGTTTAGAGGTATGCGCTAAGTCTTCAGACTGGCTATAAATAAATCCAAAGGAAGAATAGGACAAAAAAAATGGAAAAATGTATTCCTCAATATATGAATATAATCCTCATTTTGTGTGGTAACAAAAATAACGCGCCTTTCCCTTGGTATGCATTTGACCTGGTTTCCAATACTGACCGTGCTCATGTGGTCTGTCTTGTGTTTCACGCATTCTTGACGGTAATTTTAAAATGGTATTTTGATATTTATGGAGCTGCTAATTCCGCACAGGAACAAGGCATGTGCAATTTCATTTCACAGGAATGTTGCAGAAATGTTGTTAAACTCTTTTCCTATGAGGACGTCGAAGTAGGATGGTAGCGAAAGCCGTTTAAAATTCGAGCAATTTTCTAACGCTGGAACCTCGTGTCGAGCCGCCGTCTTTCTTACCTTGCTCTCTATAATACCAAGAGAGGATGACGGGTAACACAGTTAATCCCCCATATAAGCTTTATTAGTAATGTAATACCAGACTGAGTGGAGTTCCATTCAGGGAGTAATCACGCGAGTAATTTCGAAATTATTATTATTATTATCATCATTATCATTATCA